TTGGCACGGCCTCTAGTATGGACTTCATATCAAGCGTGGACGATGCGCTCTTGCACCGGTCACATCGAGTCCAATCATGGCAGACTACATTGACGTCCCAGTCGTCATTGTGGGCGGAGGAGGCTGCGGGCTCTCTCTATCCATCTTCCTATCGAATTACCACATCGACCATGTTCTCTTCGAAAGGCATCCGTCCACATCATTCCTGCCAAAGGCCCACTACCTCAACCAGCGAACGATGGAGATCTTCCGCGAACATGGTGTGGCATCCGCTATCAGATCCGTGGGCTGTCCGATCCATCACATGAGCCGCACTCAATGGCGAACCTCACTAGGAGGATCACGATCTTTTGACGGACGGGTCATTGGCAGCGTGCCTGCGTTTGGCGGTCAGGTAGGGACTCCCGAGTACGAGACCTATCGAAACGACTCGGCGGAGCTTTCTTCGAATCTGCCGCTGCTGAGACTGGAGCCGGTCTTGCGGGATATTGCATCGAAGAGGAATCCTGGCAAAGTGCTCTTCAGTCACGAAGTACAGGAGATCGTCAAGGAGCCGGACCATGTTATTGTCCACGTTCGGGATGCAGACGGTAACGTCACACGCTATCGTTCGCAATATCTAGTTGGTGCAGATGGCGGCAAGACCGTTGGACCACAAATCGGTGTGCAAATGGAAGGACCCAAGAAAATCGTCGATTTCGTCAGTACGCATTTCAAGGCTGATCTCTCAGCGTACTGGGATGGTAATTTTTGCTTCCTCAAAATGTCCTCGCCAGCCTACTGATCAGTACCAGATCGAACTCTAATCTGTCATTTCATAAACCCCGAAGGTGAATCTATGGTGCATTTTGACTGCGGTGCCCTTGTCCAAATGGGCCCAACATGGGGCCGCAAGTCGGAAGAATGGACCCTTCACTTTGGCTTCCCTGTCACCGACAGTAAACGCTTCGACACTGATGCATTGCCGGATCGAATTCGCCACCTGCTGAAGATACCTGATTTACAGATGGAGGTCTTGCGAGTGAGCCATTGGGAACTGGAAAGGACGTTGGCGAGCAAGTACCAGGAAGGCAGAATCTTCATCGCAGGAGACGCCGCACATAAGCGGCCTCCGACGACCGGTCTAGGGCTCAACACTGCGATTGAAGACGCTCTGAACCTGGCGTGGAAGCTGGCTCTTGTCGTCAAAGGTCATGCGGACATGTCTCTTGTGAACACCTACGAGGCCGAGCGTCGTCCAGTGGGCTTGAGGAATTGTGATTGGGGACTGTTCACCTTCTCCAACATGCCAATTCTCCAAGCAGCCGTGGGTCTGATACCGGATAGTCTAGATTACAACGTCACCAGGTTCGAGCGCATCTTTGAGGACTCCGAGTATGGTCGAAACGCACGGCACCAGATTCAGCGCGTCATCTCTACTCAAGACATTGAATTTGCGGCGCATAACATGGAACTAGGCTTCGTATATGAGCAAGGTGCGGTGGTACCGGACGGCACAGCAGCTCCAAAGCAGGACCCTGGAGGGCGGTTATACGAGCCCACCACTCGACCAGGCTCTCGATTGCCTCACGCATGGGTCGAGATGGATGCCCAAGTCGTTTCAACTCACGATATTGTAGGGTCAGATCAATTTTTGTTGCTCACAGACGAGACTGGTTGCGATTTTTGGAAAGCTGCCGCGAAAGCTGTCTCGCAAAGTAGCGGCATGCCGTTGACTGTCGCGGCGATCAAGGCCTACTCGCACACCAAGCGGACGGACTGTTTCTTCGACCACGATGACATGTGGGTCAAGTTTCGCGGGCACGAGGATGGTGGCGCATTGCTCGTACGTCCTGATAATTTTGTTGCTTGGAGGAGCGCAAGATTGCCGCATGACCCGAGTGTGGAGCTGCTCAAGGCTTTGACGTCTGTGTGTGGTCGGGCAGGCTCGACGCATATGAATGGTATGAATGGTGCGAAGTAGATTTTTGAGCTGTATAATTTCATCAAGTGTGCGACCTTGTTCTCATGGGTCTGTATAATCATTCAGGTCGTAACGAAGACAATACGCCCAGCACTGGTAGCTCTCATTGCCAACAGGGAGAATGTCACTTCATCGGCTACTGTCACATCATCGTCACTAAGTCTGTCTGCCTGGCAGTCTCATGACTGAGCGTCAAGCATCGTCAGAACTTGGATCAATCGGCCATGGGATCAATCGGCCATTCGCATTATTGACATGCAAGTATATTCACATGACTCAACACTCTGCGCTGTTTCGAGAGCTGGATGACAGACGCCAGAGACCACAAAAGCTACTCACCCGATCTTGAAAACAGTGCAACATACCCCATGCCTTCTCTCCCAATCAACCGCAGCGCCCTCACTCCTTCTCACGGAAACCTCCCGAATAAGGCGCCGCACCAAACGGCATCCCCTCCGGCGGCTTCTTCCACTGCCCCGTCGCCGCATCAATCAACCCCTCGCAATCCTCCAACGCCCTCTTCATAATCTCCGTCCTCTCCACACTCCTAGCCTTAATCTCCACCCCAAAAGGCGCCGGTGTCACAGCAATCCCACCTTCGAAATCATCGATGTCCGGCGTGATAGGCGCGCCGTTGGCATCCAACGGCTTTTCGATGTTGAAGCCCCATAGGATGCGCGACATGGCGAGGAAGAGCGAGCGCTCGGCAATATGCACACCTTGGCACATGCGTCTTCCAGCACCGAAGTTGAAGTTGTCGCGCTTCAGGGGATCGCCGCGCGCGGACTCGTAGAGGGTGGTGGTGTCGCCTAGGTGGCGTTCGGGCAGGAAGTGGCGAGGGTTTGGGGAGCGGATGGGATCCATTTGGATGCCCCTGAGTACTGTTCAGTTCTGCGTCATCAAGTATGGGTCTTGGTTGTACGAAAAACATACCACACGTTGTTAAGCACGGTAGCATCTTTGGGGATCTTCCAGCCCATATACTCGTCGTCCTTGGTCACTCTGTGCGGCACTCCCAGAATCACGGGAGGCATCCAACGCAGAGTCTCCTTGATGACGCACCTGATGTAAGGCAGATCCGGGTAGTCGTCGATCGTGGGCAGACGATCGCTACCTACTACGCGGTCGATTTCCTCTTGTGCTTTCTTCTGCGCTTCGGGGAAGCACATCATCGCTTCGACGAAGCCATATGTGGTTGCTGACGTGGTGTCTGAGCCGCCCTCGAGTAGAGAACCCACGATGTAGGCGACGACTTCGTCGGAGAGACCTTCGCTTTGTTGCGCCAGCAGGAGGTCGTTGCAGATGCAGGGCTAAGATCGTCAGACAATGATTTCTTGCGAAAGACATGGACGAAGGATTTCGAGGAGAAGCGTCTTACCGTACCCTTCCCGTTCTTCAGATCTTCCTTCGCCGCTAGCCACTGGTCGGTGTAGAGCTTTCTGCCAATTTTGTGGACATGCTCGGCCTCGCGTACTCCAGGAAGCAGGAAGCGTGGGAGACTCTGCAAGATGGGGTACACATCTGCGATCTTACCGGCGCCGCTTTCAGATACCTTGGCCCATCCCTCAAAGATCTGCAGTGGACATAGTCAGTCTGTGCTGATTATCAATAACCTGCCTCAAACACTTTCCTGGAACAGCTTCTCGATCCTAGGATCCGTGTAACTCGGGCAGCGATAGCCGAATATAAGCTGTGTCGAAAGCGAGAACGCGAACCGACGTAAATGCTGCTTGAAGCTCTCGGGCGTATCGAGGAGGCCGCCAAGGAGATACTTGCTCTCGAGGTCTTGGTACGGAATGTACTTGGCTGCGACAGAGATGTTCAAGATGTTGTGCACGAGTCTGTGGATCAATCTCCAGGAGTCTCCGTATCGCTAGAACTTGCGTTAGAGGACGGAATCAAGGGAAAACAGAGGGGATGGCTACCATCACGACCAGCCTTAGGTTGCCGCTTGCTACAACCTGGCTGAGGAACATGTCTGGGCGATCTGAGTAAATTTGGCCACGTTTCTCGAGGAGGTCGCGGACGGCTACGTCCGAAGTGAGGACTACGGTTGGGATGGTGCCGAGCATGATCGAGTAGACTGGGCTTCGGACTGTCAGCGGATCGACAATCAAAAAGCAAATAGATGTCCCGACCCATATTCATCCGCCCATTTCCTGAACTGCAGATGCGCGTTACGGGCTGGGATCTGGCTGTCGTGAGCAACCGCTACCAATTCGACCTCATTGTGATATATCTACCTGATGGAGATTACCAAGTACAGGCAGAGTCGCAGGACCCGGCGGCATGCCATCCGGCCTTCTTCCTACATTGCGGAGCCGCCAGCCCGTCAAGCAGATCACAAGCAGGATCCCGACAGCACTGAGAGGTGTGATTAGTGTTGCCGCCATCTTTGTCAGACTTCAAGGACGTTTGGCGAGATAAATGGATCCACTGACACAAGAACGTGCATTGAGCAAATTTAAGACTACGATCCGGCATCAGCACTTCACCTACATATGCATGACACCGTGTAACACGGCTTCGGCTTGGACGCGGCCTCGTGTATGAAAGTCTCAATGTACCAACGTCGTATGCTCCGGGCGGGGTTAAAGAGGCGTACTCCTTCCCGGCTGGCTGAAAAGGAGTCGTGTCCGAGATCGTCGTTATGACTTGGTACTTCTGTCATGAAGTTCAAGGGCGGTGGCCGGCTCCTTCAAAGCCACAGCTTCACGGTACAATGTGCTTCATCGGCCACCGGACACCGGTGGAGGATGGGCCCCCGTCTGCGGCGACGTGTCCATCCCGCCTGATCTGTGCATTTTGAAGTGTTCTGCCCGTCGCTTATTAGCGAAGCGGTCTGGTTGCCATCACTGAGAACCGTTCGCAGGATGATGTCATGGATCGATGTATACGTGATCGATGTAAGTAGTTGCAAATGAAGTTTCAGTGCTTCCACTTGGGTAGTGGACCAATCTGTAGATTACAATGACCCATTGGAAATGGTATATGTAAAAAATTGGTACTAGGTCCATTGATGTTGTCATAAATCACCGCGAGCGTGGTGCAGTTGGTTACCACATCTGTCTAACATGTGGCTGGTCCGAGATCAGTACAAACAGTTGCGCACAGAAGACCCCCGGTTCGAGCCCGGGCGCTCGTACATGCCACCATAATAAAAGTTTTTTTTTTTTTTTTTTTTCGGATGATTTTCATTCACTACACACATCTCGATGGTCCATTTGTCTGTCCGTCTATGTCCCATCTGCCGTAGAAATTCTGTTTTAGCCCGCTGCAGATTACTGGCAGCTGAAGCGAGAACCAGACTCAGACAGTCGAGATCTCAATGACAACTCAATCATTATGCATTCCACGACACGTCAACATCTGGGTACTACCTTTGATTCGCTGCGTATAACATACATACATGTAGCGCTGACATTTCTCTCTCCTTGGTGGCACACCTTGCATCGCCAATGCGCATTGCTTTTGTCTTGTGAAGACGCCAATCAAGTTTCTATGGCAATAATGCTTCTATGGTGTACAGATGTATATACAGTGTAAGCTGGTAGAACTTGCAAACTTGCTGATCTACGCCGTACACCACTCTACTACCGCGCCTGGGTCATTGGCGTATGGGTATCTCTCTCGTGGTAAGTCCACTGGCCCTCCCTCGGTTTCTCCTCCAGATCCTCCCAACTGCGGCATACGTTAGCAAATACTCTCGAGCTTCACTTTCACTTATGGTAAAACTTACATCTTCGCCTCTGCAAGCGTGTCCACCAGATTCCGCTCACCTTCCGCCACCTGAATGATCTCCTCGATCAACCCCGCCTGAATCTCATTCTCAATGCCCTGAATCTGCTCCACACTTAACGGTGGCTCTGGCGCGATCCTGGGAATCGCCGCATGCTCCGCCACCGGGTCTCTTGTTAATTGCGCTTGCTGAAGCTCCTGTGTCTCCTCATCTCGCGGGCCCTCCAGCATTGCAGGTCCGGGAGTCTCGTCACCCCATTCCGGCGTCGCGGCGCCCTGCAGCGCATGGTCTCTCCACACAATGTTGAACTCTTCCATCTTGCCACTCGAAGAAGTCAGAGGTATCTTCTTGAACGCTTCCGGGTGTTCTTCGACCAGTTTATTGACTCGCGCCTGCCATTCCTCAAGGCCGGCGGGTTTGTTGGCCTCAATGATTCGCATGCGGTGCTTCGTCAGCGCCTCGGTGGACTGGCGGTAGACGCTCGATTCGGGGAATTGCTGAAGCTTGTTCAGGGTGTCGCTATAGAGATAGAGGAGGGTGGACCGGGGGGCGTGGTGTGTGAAGAGGCCAGTAAGGCCGGTGGGGGCGCCAGGTTCGAGCAGTTCCCTGCTGCTGGCGCGGGAGACGGAGGCCAGAAGCCTCAATGCGGATCTCATGGTGGCGGTGGGGTGTGAGGGTGGATGTGTGTAAGGTGTTCGGGATGTGGTGACGGAGCGTGGAAGCCAATGCGCTGCTTACCAAAAAGCGTGCCTGAGGCAGACCTAAAGCTAGACCCGGCACGAGTCGCATGCTCAAGAGCCGGAAGGAATCTAATAGTCGTGGCATGTCGCAGTTCAAGACTTACTATAATTACACCACTTGCGCTTCTCTATCTTCTCCTGTTGATCCTCTATTCTGATGCTTCCCGGATCTCCTAAATACTGACACCAGATTGTACAAACCAATGCGTTCGTCTTGACTGCGAAACACCTGGCTTCACAGGGCCTCGCCATGCGCCTTTCGCTTTACAGCCTTCTCGCGCTGCCTTTACTCCCATACATATCAGCGACCCAGACTGAACAGCCAGCGGACAGCGGTCTGCAACCCCGAGACGAAGCATCAGCAGGGAGCGCGTTGGAAGGACACGATGGCAAGACCACGACTGGCGGGATAGAGACAGGCACAACATTCAATGGAAAGAATGTCCCTGAAGTCACCAGCTTGGATGGAGCGACGCTGAATGATGCGATCAAGGGCGGATACTGGTTGGTGGAGTTTTTCAGCCCCTACTGCGGCCACTGCAAGCAGTTCGCCCCGACATGGCAGACATTGTACGAGTTCTATTACACTCAGGATCCACTACCGCAGACATCGGGCTCTGGAGAGTCAGAGTCCGATCTCAATAGCTTCACCAGATATTACAATTTCAAATTCGCCAAGGTGGACTGTATAGCGAATGGTGATACATGCGCCGAGAACAAGATCACGAGCTTCCCCACGGTTGTGCTGTTCAAGGATGGTGAGCAGGTCAAGACGTGCAAAGGTGCAAAGGATATGAAGGAAATGTCGAAATGGGTCGAGGAGATCTTGGAGAGTATCAAGCCGGGTTCGAGGCCAAAGGACGGCCTTATTCTGCCCAAGGCTGGCGATCACGAGGTCGAAAAGACGCTTATGCCGGAGCAGCCGCCTGTGCCACTAGATGGCAACGCTGGCTCAAGAGTGACACCCACTGCATCTGCAAGCAAGAGTACAATATCCGCGACCAGGGTACCTGAACTGCCGAATCAAGCAGGAAAGTCGGTGCCTCTGACCGCAGAGAGCTTTCAGCGCCTGGTCACGACAACTCGCAATCCATGGTTTGTCAAGTTCTACGCGCCTTGGTGCCACCACTGCCAAGCGATGGCACCCAACTGGCAAGGCATGGCTCGCCAGATGCAGAATAGAATGAATGTGGGAGAAGTCAACTGCGACGTGGAGAAGCGACTGTGTAAAGACGTCAAGGTCCATGGCTATCCTACCATACTCTTCTTCCGCGGCGGCGAGCGCATCGAATATGATGGTCTTCGTGGGCTGGGTGATCTGATTGACTTTGCGAAGAAAGCTGAGGTCGTCGGCGACGGCATCAAGAATGTCACTGCGGCAGACTTCGAGGAGATGGAGAAGAAGGAGGAAGTCATCTTCCTATATCTTTATGATCACGCGACTACGCACGAAGACTTTCAGGCCTTGGACCGCTTGACCATGAGCTTGATCGGTCATGCCAAGCTCGTGACATCGAAAGACCCAGCACTCAACGAGCGGTTCAAGATTAGCACTTGGCCGCGCCTGCTCGTGTCTCGGGACGGCAAACCAACGTACTACACTGCGCTTTCACCTCGCGACATGCGCGACTATCGACGCGTGCTAAACTGGATGCAAACAGTCTGGCTTCCTATTGTCCCTGAATTGACTGCCTCCAACGCCCAAGAGGTGATGAAAGGCAGGCTTGTCGTGCTCGGCATCCTCTCGCGTGACCGACCAGAAGAATTTGTGTCAGCCAAACGCGAGATCAAGAATGCAGCACTCGAGTGGATCGACAAGCAGACCCAGGCTTTTCAGCTCGAGCGGCAAGAATTGCGCGACGCGAAACAACTTCGCATTGAAGAAGCCGAGGATCGAAATGACCAACGCGGCTTGCGAGCTGCAAAGTCGATCCGCATCAACATGGACGACATCGAGCGCAAAGAAGTCGGTTTCGCATGGGTCGACGGCATCTTCTGGGAACGCTGGATCCGCACCACCTTTGGCATCTCCGTGCAGTCCGACAACGAACGCGTCGTCATGTACGACTACGACAACCACCGCTACTGGGACGTCACCATGACCGGCAACCCGATCGTGCCCTCCCGCACGTCGATACTAGAGACGCTGCCGAGAGTCGTTTCGAGTCCGCCCAAGCTCAGCCCCAAGAGCACAACTACGGCGCTAGGCCACGTTTGGTGGGTGGTCAAGGGGCAAGTGTTTGAGCACCCGCTTGTCAGCACGGCGATTGCGATCGTGACGATTATGGGCGCTGTGATTTTGGGGCGGAGGCATCTGAGGCTGGGTGGTGGTGTGTCTAGTGGGTATTTCAAGGTCGGGGAGAAGAATGGTATGGATGGGTTGTTGGGGGGTAACTCGGGTGGGCAGGGAAAGGTGGATTGATGGGGCTGGATGTGGGATGTGTTGTCATGGCTTTTGCGTTGGCGCTTTTAGGCGTTAGGGGAGGGTGGGAATGGTTGTCTTTGGGTATGAGGGACATAGAGCTTCGTTTTTGTTGTTGTGTCAGATTCCTGATCTCTTTGCGGCCTGAGTGGCATCTTCCAACCAGGTTTCTATACCCTGACAAGTACGGCTAAGTACGTCAAAAGTACCTTAACCTGAGAAGGTGGCGACCGATTGCTCATTCCAGAGTGGTCCTGTTTACGAGGGCTCATATGTCATTTGCACTGCCCGCGGATCACACACGATCGATAATCCGGCCTCGACATCTGCTTTTCTACGCTTGCAATCAACGGACATTTCGAGATGGCTTTGCAGCACGCGATACGGGAATGCGTCGAATGCAGCTCCTTCGCTTCAGCAGACAAGACGTCCGCAGCACGCAGCTTTCCGATCCAGTCAGGCTGCGCGCGGCTGCCGGCTGAAACATACCTACCTATGTTCTTGGTGCGCCTGTCGGAGGCAAACCACACCTACATTCGCCCAAGCGCAGGCACCAACGCGTTTTCGCGACCCTGCTGGCCGGCTGCCCAAATGGCAAGATCTCACCTGCTTGCTTCGCTCTTTTGCTCCAGCACCCAGCTGGTAGCATCGGTGTAGACTTCGAGGCGTACGGACTCATATCAGGCATTGCTTTAATGCTGCGATATCATGGATGTAGCGCGCGCGAGACCATGCACGTTCCGCATGCAGAACGCCGCGGTGCGACGAGGCCTTGAAATTTTCATATAACATGCTGGGCTGTGCAAGGCTGCGACTTTTCAGCATGATGATCGATATCAGGGACAGTTTCTGAGCGCAGGACCGCGCAGCATTTGCTATACTAGTTCACAATAAACATCCTTTGCTGGACCGCCACGCGTTATAGCGAGACACTTGCCGAAATCTTATACTTGAGCAACGCCTTCCATATATCCAGACTAGGTCGCGAGCATTTAGCAGCTATGTGGCAGCTCCTCGGCAACGCGAGCACTCCTCCCGCAGCGGCATGGCACCCGGAACCAGATTATCGAGGCACCCGGTCCATCTTATCGACCTGTTTGATTACAATGTTTTTGTGCGCGTGGACGGCCGTGCATCTCAATCTGCCTGAGCACAAGAAGGAATGGCAGCAGAAGTGGCGGCATCTTGGGTGGCTTGTGCTGGCCTTGCTGGCTCCTGAGGTCGTTGCATGGAATGCTTTTGAG